TTACAATGAATTAGATGAGAATGGCTTTCGTTTCCCCAATGGCAAAAATGGTGGCACTGACTGCAGTACAACGCCCTATCAAACACCCAATGGTTCGTCGGCGGACTACAACGAATTCGAAGATCACGTACTGGAGACGCGCGTACGTCGTGTCACCAAGAAGCTAGAAGCTGATCTGCAGTTGCAGCAGCATCGTCGCTCTTTTAGTGAAAACATCATTCACTTCCCCCTGCACACTACGCCTAGCGACAAGGCGCGTTGCCACCAAATGCAGCGACAGCGCTCGTCCACACACTCTCCAACGCCACCAGCTCAATCGCGCATAAACGGTGGTAGTGAGCACGCATCAGCATTGGAAGCCAGCGTTGCTACGGTCGCAGACGATGCCACACAAGCAACCGTAGCCGCAAAAACGCTACCGACGCCGCAAACGGCCGCACTAACGTTACGCAAAGTCGCGGAGACAATGTGCTTGAAGGACCCGCACTACAAGCCCATACGTTCCGATCACAATGGCGTCAAGAGCAACCCATTCACAACGCTGGCACAGCTGCGTGGCGTCAAAAAGATACTAGGTGCCAATCCAAAAACCTATGCCGCCGGTGTGGGGGATTTGTTTAGTTCATGTTTTGAGATGTCAGCGCCGTTCTTCAAAGAGCTGGCGGCTGAGTTGGCCAAAAGCACAAACAAAACGGCGACAACAAGTGAGGTTGGTTGCGCGGTCGCAGCCCGTATGGGTGGTGGTGGCGTTGGTGCTGGTGGTGGTCGTGGACTGCCGTCCGCACCTAACGAACCAAAGAGCTTGCCCTCATCGCCGCAATTGACGCGCAAATTCAGCGTCGCTGAGTTGAAAGCGCAAGGTAAAAACGCGACAGTGGCTACAGCTACCGCAGACTCCCCAGTTGTCGAGGACGACGATGATTGCGACGATTGTGCGTCCGATGCTGAGCCCGATGGCGATGGCGGTGGTAATTGCGCGGATGCCGAATCAAGCAGTGATGACTCCGCTGAGCCACGTGCTATGCATCTTTCAACGCCAGCTGCGCGCAAGTATCGCGCCAATTCGCTTTTTACGCATCCTCTATTTTTGAGTAGTAGCGGAAACGGGAACACCACTGGAAATGCTAATTTGGACAAGGCTCCGGTCACCGCAGTGACAGGAACAGGGTCGGCATCAACGACAACCATGAGTACAGCAGCGACGGTTGTAGGGGCTGATGGTGCGGGAAACGCAGTATATTCGACTTCTGAGGATGGCTGTGATGAGCGCAATTCACCGAAAATGAAAATTCCTGCAAACATTGCAGCATCTATTATTGCGTCACCAACGCCATCGGCCGCGCCACCAGTTGCTTCATCCGTAGCCACGCCGGCATCCGTTTCATCCTGTACCGACTTTGAGTTGCACGAAATAAAACCAAGTGATTTGCTGCCGATTAAAGGCACTCTTACACGGCGAGATTCCATCGAAAGTGGATTTTATTCGTGTTTCAACGAAGAATCCGACCCGGCAATCACCAACTCGACCACTTATCGACAGCTAAACTGCGCTGGAGCGGGCGGAAGTGGCGCGCTGCCTTTCGCATGTGGCAGCAACTGCTGCATCGAACAGCTGAAAGCGCAACTGATGCTGGAGGCGGGGTCAAACAACGAAATCAAGTGAGTGGAAGCATATATATATTATTTTTGCTTTAACGTTCAAATCAGTTTGCAAAAATACCGAAGCTTAGCTTGAAAGGGCATTCATTCAAAGCTAAGTATGTAGCATCAGAACTCGCGCAAAAGTAATTTCTCTTATGTTCTTTTACGTAGCGACAAATTGGCCAGTCTGTGTCGTTGTTGTTACTACGCCTGCACGGGCTCGACGGCCGGTCTACAATCACAGCAAGTTAATGGCGGCCAACTCTTGACAGACTCATCATCAAATTCCTCCTCGGTGCTGCTATTCGACCCAGAAATAAACACGGTAAATACCTCTTCCTCGGGCGCATCTCTCTCGCACGAAGCGGCTGCTTTACGTTCCCTCGACGACCTAGAACTGCCGGATACCGGTCGCCCGCATCATCGCCGCTACACCTGTCATCATCATCATCATCTTTTAGGCGCATCAAATTTACACGATCCTAATGTCACAGCTACGGCCTCTTCGACCACCTCAATCGACATGGGTCTTATGAATCGCTTAGCGCTGGATGCGGGCATACATTCGGTTTTACAACGCAACAATTTCGCTGTCAATCAATTGCTCTACTGCAAGAATCGCACCTCATCCATTTACACCGACAGTTCGGATGACATCAGCAGCTTGGCCGGCTCCGATTCGTTGCTATGGGACGATCGTTCCTTCACTGCTATACCCAGCAAGCGTTCAGAACAAATCGCCACAATTGTTGAGTATTTCGAACGGAAACGACAAGTACCTGACATGGTGCCACCCAGCCGTGGTGCCTTTCTACGCAGCGGCAGTGGTACTACTAGTGCAGGCAGCACACACACAAGCACATCGAACAGTTCCGCATCCACGGCAGCGGCTGCCGCAATGGCTGCTACCACATACGGGCTTAGCAATTTAGGAGCGTACGATATGAGGCGCTACACGACAGACTTCAAGCGACATGCGACTATGAATTCCGATTATGAAGCGTTCTGTTTCGATTTGGATAAGAAACCGACACAGCAGCGCTTGACCGTATGTGAGGGTGCC